ATTTTTGGAAAAGTTATAACCTGCGGGTTGGCTTTGGAAATCCTGCGGGCTCTTTCCACCCTTCTTTCTCATCCCCTCCGGAAATCCTGCGGGCTCTTTCCAACCTTTCTTCTTGGGCTTCTAACCTCTTTCGTCTCTCCGCAAGTGCCACTCCACCTGTATCCCTCTTCTCTAAGTGCAACAACTTTAGGGTGTCGTCATTTTATTTCAAGTCGAGTTTGAGTTTTTAATTTCTTTTTAGTTTTATTTGAAATGTAAGAGTTTGTTCTTTCCTTTCCTCGTCTTTAGTCATTTTCGTCGGTAGAAGTCCGTCGTGTCTTTTTTGTGATCGAAAGATACAGGCTCCCTATATCTTTTGCTCGCATCATCATATATTTATATCCATTATATGGTAATCAAAAGAATAAAATAATTTAATAAATTCTTTCATTGGGCCTGTCATATCTATACATATTCACCGAGTGTTATTCTTTTTTGGAACTAATAAAGCAAAAAACTATACAAAGGCCAGTGCTCGCTTGAATTAAGACACTTAGTAAGGATTTCTTCTACTCAATGTTATAATTCTTCATATTTTTTAGATCTCATTCGTAGGTTAGATGATGTAGAATAGCGGCGCTACAGACAAAATTATCATATTTTGGACATTTCTCATGAAAGGTAATCTTAAGGATAATTTTGTTGGAGACAAAATTGTCTCACATGAATTAAGACCCTTAGTAAGGATTTCTTCTACTCAATGTTATAATTCTTCATATTTTTTAGATCTCATTCATAGGTTGGATGATGTAGAATAGCGGCGCTACAGACAAAATTATCATATTTTGGGCATTTCTCATGAAAGGTAATCTTAAGGATAATTTTGTTGGAGACACATTTTGAAATTGTTGTAATAGAAGTTGTACTTTTTTTAGACATATTTCTTGTCGTGAATTCCCTCCATGAATATGAGGGCGTAAGTAGATGGTGCATCTTGCATAGTTTTCAAGGACATATATTTGAAAACTAGTGCATAAATTTAGCATTTTCCTTGATATCTTCTTTTGGCATTAATACCACTTTCTCGCTTTCATGTTCTATTATATGTAATATGCTCGATAAAATAATTGTAAAAATATAGGTATTAATATGTTAAATTGAAAGATAAACTATCTTAATAATAACTAAAATATATTTAACTAATAATGTAAATTACTGATGTGAGCAAAAATCCCTGGGGAGAGAGAGGCCCCCTCCCAAGAAATTCTTGATCACCTCAAAAATAACAAAAGAGAGAGACTTAGGAACTAAGTAATAAGAAGAACAAACTCTTACATTTCATATAAAAAGACACTTACAAACTTTTGACTCAATCGACTCAAGCAAGACACCTTACAACTCTTACAAACGACACAAACACAAATTAAAACCTAAACCTGCTTTCTAAGAGATGAAGGATACAATGGAGTGGATACTTGCGGAGAGACGAAAGAGATTAGAAGCTGAGAAGAAGGGTGGAAAGAACTCGTAAGTCTCCCCGAGAGATAGAAGAAGAAAAAGAAGAAGAAGCTCTCAAGCTCTTCCAAGAAAATCCGCAGATTTCTTTTCAAAAATTCTTTCTTAACATTACTTTAAAACATTCCAAAACATCTCATATTTATAGACATGAGAGGAGAATACAAACAACCACTTCAATGATTTCCCACAGGAATCCAAGCATCACAAACCACGGAAAAGCCCCCCCAACCTCACGGGAAACAGCCCAGCCAGGGACCCAAAGAGGCAGCCGCGGAACCAAAGAGGCTAGCACGGAACCGAGGCACCAAAGCACGGGAAAGACCACCCAGCAGGAAAACCAGCAGCCAACCGTGGAAACCAAGGAGCCAAGGCATGAAAATAGCCAACCGTGGAATCCAAGGAGCCAAGACACGAAAAACAACAAGCACAGGGAATCCAAAAGCCATTTTGGAAACCGAATGGACAAACTAAGAATTTTAAGAGACAAAACTATAAATAAAGAACTACATAAATAAGAAAATAAATGAACTAAAACCTAGCTAGTAATGAGCTAACCTTTAGTTCAATAAATGAACTAAAAACCGGCTCATAATCAGCTAAATTTCAGCTCAAAATTTATTGAGCTAGCAAACTCAAGGGAAGTCGAAACCAATTTTTTTTTGGGTTTGATTTGACCCCCCCTTTGCCTACATCAATTACCCACTTAAAATTTCCTTGAAAAGTATAACAAAATATTTTTTTACTAATTTAGTGCTTAACCAACATTAAGTCAGTCCTAACAAATTTGTCCCAATAATTAGCAATAACATTTCAATTTTTTTCCCAACTGATTGATTTGTTGATATTTTAGTTTCTTCTCTCTTTATAGTTAACCATGCAGTGCAATAGAAGGCGGATTAAAGTGGCTGCTGTTGGCGTCTCTAAAACATTTGCAATGACATCCTATATATGTACATGACCTTTGGCTTTGACGTTGCTGTGGAAGTGGCACAAAGAAAAATAAATTCTGAATACATTGAGGTCTAATTGCTTGAGAATATTCTATTTATGTAAATTCTTCTAAATTTTAGTAGTGTGCAATTTTAGAAGAGGATCTTTGAACTACGGAAGGAGGAAGGTGTGCGTCATTACCTAGCAATGAAGGAAAGAGCCTATTACGGTGTTACCTTTGGCTGAAGCAGACAAATGCAGTGAGCTTCAAACCAGGCAAATGAAGTGAACGATGAAAGGAGGAAGAAGGTTTGAGTCGAGACCTAACAACGAAGGAGAGTGTCTGTTACCTTCGTTGGGAGGAGATGAATGCAATGAGCTTCAAACCCAGGTGAATGTAGTGAGCTTTGAAACCTAAAAGCATGATTGTCAGATGGTTCTGGGCTTTGGGCAATAGGAAAAGCAAATAAACTTTTAAAAAAACCTAAGTAAACTATTTTTATCATATTAAATAATTTAAATATCATTATTATATTAACCTATAAATAAAAAATATATAAGCATTAAAAAATCTTTATAATTGTATTAAAAATTACTAGATAAAATTGCACGTGCTATTTGCGCCTAGGGGTGTCAAAACGGGACTGCGGTTCGGGGGTTCAGGTTGAACCCGGATTGACCCTGGTTTAAATGAGTTGATCTTAACTTGACTCGGTTTTGCAAACGAGCTAGGATTGCCAACTTGGACCCGACCCATGCGGGTTATTGAGTTGACCCTACACGACCTGCCAACCCGCTCTTTTTCAAATACCGGGTTTAAACAGCTAGCAGTGTGACGGCGTTGTGAAGGTGGGTTAGGTGAGGCGACGGGTGGCCCGTGGCAATGTGGCATGGAAGGCTGGCTAGCGGACCCATACCTGGGTCAACTTTGGGTTAATTTCAGGTTTACGGGTCAACCCAACCCGATTTTAGAAATGGGTTACATTTTTGAACCCGAACCTTATCCCATTTGACAAACGGGTCGACTCAAACCAAAGTTATAGAATACGATGGAAGAGGAGATGATAGATAGTAAAGAAAGTCATAATATTTCATGTTCAGTCCATTCTTCGTTATGCATTCCCAAGGCTCCCTATATATGCATGAGGATCCTTAATACTTTTTTTTTGATGAAAAGGATCCTTAATGCTTACTAAAAGTATTTTAAACTAGTAAGAAAATGAATAATGTGTCGTTATTACATAGTTAAAACATAACAAGGTTAAATGATTTCGGTGCAAAGATTGATTTGGAGAATAATTCGACGATCTTGATTCATTTTACAATGCTGATCCTACATTATTTCACATGGGCTAGAAAACTCATCTCTAATGAGTTAGAGGCTGGTAGCCATGGTGGTTGTTGAGGTGAAGTTGGAGCATGGGAATCTGAATATTAGTAGAATCACTTATGAAATGATTCGGGGGCTTTGGCTCTAGACTTTGATTTATATCCTAATTCAAACCGATAATTTGTGCGAGAATACCATGTCATTTTAATTGTGACAATGCTGGTAGTGTGAAGTTAATCTGGAAGAGTGAAAAAGTATATGGTAACATAGGAACTGGGGGAGGGTCTTGTTTTTTGGTCATCTCCATACATTATGACAATGTATTTGCTTCTACGTTACAATTTGGTGGTGGAAGCAATTGAAAGACGGTTAATCTGTGATGGAGTGGTTAGTTGTATGTAGACTTAAGAAGTTACTTGTATCTATATTTGTAAAGGGTGAAGAGTAAGAAAAGTAGAAGAAGGCTTCATAGACTTATTTGCATTATCAATCTCTAGCATAGTCTCCTGTTTAAGCTATGGAGGAAGCTCAACTTCATCTGTAGGTGCATAATAAAGGTCAAGATTAACCTCATCGTCAGACTCAAGCTCAGGTGCAAGTTTTTCCATGGGTGATCAATCATCATCCTTAAGTAGGTAAAGTTAGTTGGATTCATGAGCTCAATGGGCTTTGTGTTGCTTTTAATGCTAGTGGAATATGTGGAGTTTGTGGAGCTGGATAAGATTGTTGCTTGCGTGGAGTTTGTGTTGGGGAGGGCTGTCTTTTATTTATATTGTTATAAACAGGTTTGTGCCATGAATTGTTTGTATAAGAAGATTGAGGGGGATCAATATGATGGGTATGTGAATGAGGAGACATTATTCTTTAAGATAATCATGATACATTTTGTATTAATGACAATTTCTTATGTAATAGGTATCTTTTATCCATATTTTTAGTTGATGGACATCAATTATATGTATAATATAATGCTTTTCATTAGAAGTTTGGTGCTTGTGATGAGGATATCAGGGATGCGTACAATATAAATGTCATGATGGGAATATGAATGTGATTTTTTATACCTCTTATCTTAACTTATGATCGTTATAAGGGTTATGATTGAAATCATAATGCTTATGTGGATTGTAGGGTTGTTGATGTGGGCTAAAGAAAGCTTTTTTTTGGTGATATGAATCATCTTCAAGGTCATCCTAATGATTATATCTTGAGTTAGTGATATAGTGGAGCAGGAGGAGGATGATAATCATAATTATGCGTTGATTTGGAGTTCAACAAGATTATAAATTTTCTTTGATTGGATATAGATTGATGATAATCTTGGACTGCATGAGAGGATCATTATGAGTGTGTAAGGGATGTCTTGATTACTTGAAATATGTGCCTTGGAAGGATGACAAAGGGCATATGAGGTAGAGTGTGAATGAGTGTGATGTGCGTAGGGCTTGCTAATGATATAAGGGTGTTAGACCTCGTGTAATTGGGGATGCAAGAAGAGTTGGAGTTGTGATAGGCAAACTAATGATGCAATGAGAGCTAGGGCATGTATAGGGAGCCTAAAACAAGTGTGACAACACATATATAGCAGATGATATAATATAGGGGTTGTGAGTCGATGAGATGGTGAGCAATGATAGGTATTGTGAAAATCATTAATAAATATGCATGTGAGTGGGGGAATACAAGTCATGAGTGGGATCTTAGGTTAGGGGGTGAGCTAAGCTTGAGTGAATTTTGTAGGAAGCAAGATTGCTAGTGGACATGCATGAGTCGTGATGTGAATTGATAAATTATCAAAATAGTTACTAACTATATTAAAGGATTATTTTGGTCCCTCAACTCCTTAAAGAGGAATCAAATTAGCCTCAACGACTATTTTGGTTCATCTTTAAAGACACGATGTACCAAAATAATCCTTTAATATAGTTGAAGACTATTTTGATTATTCATAGAAGAGTCTAGAGATCATTTTGATACTTTTCCCGATGCGAATTATTAGTAACTACGATGTGTAATGATGGCTGCGTCTAAGCAAATGGGCCAAGGATAGGCTCTAATACTAAATTAATACAAAGGATCATAATGATAATTTTGGATGAGATTAATCGGTGTTGGGGATTTTAGAGAGAGAGGATGAGAGATAAAAGAAGTTAGAAGAAGAGGAGGTAAGAGATAGTAGAGAAAATCTCAATATAAATATTTTATATTTGTTCCATTCTTCCTTGTATACTCCTAAGGCACTCTAAATAGAGAGCATGCCCTTCAATGCTACTTGAAAGTGCTTTAAACTAACTAAACAAGAATAATATATCCTTATTATGTAAATGATATAATTAGATATTTTGTAAATCTAATTATATGCAACGAAGATTGATTTAGAGATGCATCTGATGATTGAGGTTAATTCAAGCATGATTTGGAGAAGCATCTAAGCATGATGATCGTACCTCACATTTGCAAGTGCTTTGCATGGAGAGGGGATTTCTTCTATGAGAGAAACTTAGCAATGCGGAAGTGAGGATTTATGTGGCTTTGTTATGAGATTTAAAAGAAATATATTTGATTTGCGTCCTTTTATTTTGCAGGAAAAGTTGAGTTCTTCAGATGTCACATACATGAAAATTTTACTTAGCATCATTTTCATACTAATTACCTATAATATCAAAATACATGTCAACCTTTTACTTCAAATTCATTTTACCCAAAAACAGCTCCTACAGTTTTTTTTCTCAATTTGATGTTTTGATTAATAAGGAAAGAGAAAAGAAGAGAACTCCACTTACAACTTGGATAGATTTGTGTGCACAATTTTTAGTGAGAACACTCATAACATGCTTCAACAATAATTTAATTCCATCAATTATCAGTGGTCATCAAATTGATTACAAGCCAGAAATCTATATTTATAGAAATAGGGTACAAAAATTAGGAAAAAAGATTTTGAAATTAAATTTAATCCTATCAAAGCATTTGAACTTGAACCTAAGATAATCCAAAAAGATAATTTAGCTTAATAAAATATTTTTTAAGAATATAAAGAAATTAAACCAAAAAATCAAATATGGTCCTAAAAAGTTCTGAAAATGTGTCTGTTTTAGATTTGTTATAGTTTGGTTTGATTCTTCATAATTGTTCTACAAGGAACTAGACCTTTATGAGTTGCCTTGGCTAAATAATCAGCCAAGTCAGAACAGTACTGCATCATGTTCTTGTTGCCACTGTTGCATCAAGTTTTGAGATAATCAATTTAATTTGATAAGGTTTCATTTGGTGATGTTAAGTTTCTTATTATTTTCTTTAAATTTTTATTAGATTTTGATTTATGGTTAAATTTCATTTTATATTTGGATGATTAGAATTATGCATTTTGTTGTTTCTTGGCTTTTGTCACCTAGAGTCGGTAACATGCCCCATGAATGGGTCCATTTAATGAGGGATGATCTGAAGGAAAATTATGATAGTTTTCTAAGTATGTTTACGTGGTTATTTCCTTAATGCATATTCATAAACTTTGGCGGCATGAATTCCACCGAGTTTTATTTTTATCAGATTACCAAACATGTTAGCCTTTGGAATTTATTGTAGCATTTGATGACTATGGCTCAAAGCGTGTCATTATATTGAGGAAATTTTATTTTGAATGAATCATGTAGAAGTGAATCAGGTATAAATGATCATTCTATTATATTTCCTCTCTATTTACTGCTTTGATTTCAGGTTGAAGATGTCGGTCTTCTTGATTCTCCATCTTGTCTACGTTTTCTTCTTATGCTATTGAATCCACCAATAAGTCATTCTGTTGAGAAGAAGCCACCAAAAGTCCGCTTCAATCTCTTAGAAATACACAAGCCTCAAACACTTAATAGTGCAATTAAAGGAACTGATTCTAGCTCGAGAGCAATAATTTCAAAAGTCAAAGAAATTCTTGTAAGTTGTAATGAGATTAAATCTGGCAATGAGAATGTCGATGATATGAAGAGGCCAGAGTTCAGCTCGAAATGGATAGCTCTGCTGATCATGGAGAAAGCATGCTTATCTACTGTCTCTTTTGCAGGTAAGCCCTTGTTTAATGTCCTTGAAATTTATGCCCCAACGTGGCATAGTTTTGGTTAGCATTATTATGATATTATGAGTTCGAAGTGATTTATTTCTTATTCAAGTATAGTGGACGCTGCTTGGAAGAACTCTGAACAGATGTTCACATCTAAGTTCTTTTCTATATGATTAACTGGATAGTCCAATACCAGCCTCAAGTAGTGCCTTTTCATGTTTACTTGCAAAATCTTCTCTTATTTGATTATAGGCATGTTTGTTTAGAGGGAAAGGGAGTAAATTAACGAAATGAAGTAAATAGTTGTGCTTGTTTTTTTTTTTTTTAATTAAAGTGTGTGCAAGGTATAGTTTGGGCTATGTTTACTTACATCATCGGACAACTAAGATGTTTCATTTAATCAAACAACTACAAGGAATAAGAACCCGTTGCTATCATATTTCATTGCTAAATAGAAATACAAGGTATGTCGTTGTATTAACAGCAGATACTTCTCTTGCATGCTTGTTTACTCAATGCAACAGTAGATACGTATCTTGCATGCTTTCTTACTCAAGTTATTCATAGGTTGCAGACCCTTGGTGGTAAGAGCATGGCCTTGCACCAAGGGAAGTGGTAGTGCTTCAAAATAATGTCAATCGAGGTAGTCATTTCTCCTTGTAAATGCGCGGAAATATCATTAAATGGTTCTAATTTATTGATGTTTAGAAATCTAATTCACTTTATAATGGCTTTGCAGGAAGTCATTATTTTTTCTAGCTAAACCCTGTAGGTAACATTTGGAATCTGAAAAATTGTTCATTTGTTGTAATAGTTGTTTACTTAATTCAAATATTGAAAGAATTACGGTCATGTGGCATAATCAAATGCCAGTTGCCACTCCGTAGGAAAACAATGTTGTGATCCACAAGTGTTATTTACACAATTTTCATATATAAAATAGATGTTTTCAATTCAGTGGGAGGAATCCTAAAAAATGCTTTCATTTTTCTTTTCATTAAGCTAATACTTCCATATAATGTCTGTACTCTGGATTGTTACATCATATTATGAATAATATGGCCAAGTGATGTTAAATTGTATGTGCCTGGTCAGGTTCTTACTTTTTAAATGCCTATCCTTCTAAATTCTACTCACATATATCCATCAGATGCAACTGAGACTATGCGAAAGGTTGGTGGAAATTTCAAGGAAAGGTTGAGGGAGCTTAAAGGACTAGATGCAATCTTTGAAGTTGTCACTGATTGCCATTCTACTCTAGAGGTCAGCCTAATTATTCTATCGGCATGTTACCATATTTTACTTGACTGGAAGAACCAATATGAGTGTTGCATTTTTTGTCTTTTTTCATTTTCTCTAGTCAATATTTGATGGAAAATACAACTTGGCTTTTTATTTTTCCGTATCTAGTTATAAGTGTAGAATAAATTCTTTAATGAGCCATTTTTAAAGAACTTCTAGAAGTGGAGTGCTTATGTCTACACTATAGTTTAAATTGATCTTTGAGCGTAGAAACACTCTCTCAAATACTATTACTGGCCAAGTCAATTTCATATTCTTTATTTTTTTGTTTAGTTTCATTTTTCCCCTAATATTGCTTTGTATATACAATTTTTATCCACTTAGTGTTTCTACTTAATATCTGAAGTATCTCTCTACATTTATCTAATCTGCAGATGAACTGAAATTGCTTATTATTGAACTCTTATCATCATTTAAACTTCTCGTTCTCCTTCACTTATTAGACTAGTCTTCCTTGAATAAAACTAACGATTTTTTCTGAATCTTTCCCTTCACTGAATTATCCTTAGTTTATTGTCGAATAATCCCTGCATCTGATGCTGCTCTTTGTACTTTGAGACACTTTGTTCTAATCTATATGCAAATGGACCCACACATCCGTATTTGAATATTAAGATGATGCAACTGATTCTGTCTGCTACATTATATTTTGTAGTGTGATCTTTCAAATTTTTCAGAATGTTGGATCTATTATTCAGAGTGGTGGTGAAATAGATGGGGATATTATCAGCAAAATTCAAGTTGGATGGTTGAAGTGGAGGAATGCGTCCGGCTTGTTATGTGATAGAAATACACCCCTCAAACTTAAGGGAAAATTCTATAAGATCGTAGTGAGGCCTGCAATGCTTTATGGTGCCGAATGTTGGCCATTAAAAGAGAAGCATAATACTAAGTTAAGTGTGGCAGAGATGAGGATGCTCAGGTGGATGAGTGGTTTTACCTTAGAGATAGGATACGAAATGAGCATATACGTGAAAAGGTTGGAGTAGCTCCAGTAGAAGATAAGATTAGAGAGAGTCGCCTTAGATGATTTGGTCACATAAAATGATGGCCTTCCGATGACCCGGTTAGGAGAGTAGAGGTATTAAATTTGACTTATGTTAAGAAAGGTAGGGGTAAACCTAAAAAGACTTGGTTAGAAAATATTAGGAATAACCTTTCTTTATTAGATTTAAACGAGAATTTGACTTTTAATAGGACACAATGGAGAAAAAAGGATTCATGTAGCTGACCCCACGTAGTGGGATAAAGGCTTGATGTTGTTGTTGATCTTTCAAATTTTTCATTACTATCACTTCTTTACCAGGATTTTGATATTTAGTGAATTTGAGGTTCTTGTCGATTTAATAAGGAATTGGATAATAATAGTTAATGAATGGGTATAAGTGCCATAGCCTTTTTTTTTGTATTCGTAGGATATGAGATGACTTTATGGAAAGCTCTATTGGCATTTTGTTGCCTGCTGATGTAAGGTAATGCCATCTATACTGGACACTGACTACAACGTATAGCTTAATGAACATTTTTTCGTAGGTTTATTATTTTGTTAATTGTACAAAACAACGATAAAAGAAGACAAGAATCTTGGAACTAGTAATTAGATGTCTTCTTGAAGACTATAAGGATAAGAATTCTCTTTAGCTGCTACTTTCTTGAGGTAGGATAAGAGGACAGTAGCTGTAATGATGGCTGAAAACCCATGCTCTGAGCTGGAAGGAAATGACATCAGGAAGGGTGGGGGGGAGTGGGAAGGAGGAACCACTGGCTGCTTGTTGGTTGGACAGTTCCTGGCAGCTGGATGTCATGGATAGCTGCAAGAAGTGGCTAGCTGTTGTGAAGGAGGGATCCGGTGGTTTTGGAGGGAGGATCCGGCGGCAGTATAGGCCCACATGGCGGCTGAAGGGCTTGACGTGGCTGGCGCTGGCTGCAGTGGAGGCAGGGTCTGGAACTGCAGGCCTTGGGCAGCTGTGGAGAAAGAACGGGAGGAGGAGGCTACTGTTGCCGTAGGCGGATAAGAGAGACACTGGCGGAGGAGGAGAGTTGGTCCACCACCTGGAAGGAATTCCAGGAGCCAGAGGAAGGAACCAAGAATAGCTTTCTCTATTCTTTTCTAACATTCAAAATCTGAAATTATTAGGTTAAGGCTTCCCTATGTATAAGTTTAAGGCTAGGGTGAAGGAAATAACAGATTATTAGAGGAACTAAAGACTTTTAAAAATGAATTAAAAAAATAAAAAAAGGTTGGTCCGGTTTATTAAATTGGACGAGTGCTCTGCATCATTCTCCCCAACTTAGAGAGATTTTGTCATAATTTGAAGTCAATGATTCTTTGTAACGAGGGGTTAAGTATGAAATGTTGAAGGTAGCATATTTTTTGGTAGTCACCATTGTAGTTCCAGTTGATAAGAATTGTCATTGATGCGTTTAATAATGCAAAATGGTCTAACTGCCTTAGTTTTCAATTGAGGACCTATTGCAAACCTTTCTTTGCGTAACTTGATCCATACCAAATCATCCACTTTGAAAACTCAATGTTTTCTGTTTTTGTTGGCATATACTTGATATTTTTATTTCTTCATTTGATCTTGCACTTCATGAACCTTTTGAATTTCTTGAATGCGCTGTTTAGCTTCTGTATGGCATTTTGTAAGATGGATATGAGAAATTAAATCAATGGGAGATGTGGGATTTCTTCCATGGACTACTTCAAAGGGACTATGCCTTGTGGTTTGGCTTCGAGATTGATTGTACTCAAACTCTATTTGAGGAAGAATTATATCTCATTGATGGATGTTTTTGCCTATAAAACATCTCAAGAGATTACCTAAATTTTTATTGGCAGCTTTCGTTTGTCTATCTGTTTGTCTATCTATTTGTGGATGTACGATGGAGCTGAAATGTAACTTTGTTCATAATTTGTCCCATAGCATCTTTGAGAAGTGGCTAATGAACTTGATGCCTTGATCAAATGTGATGGTTTTAGAAATACCGTGCAATTTAATGATCTCTTGGAAATAAAGATTAGAAATGTGGGTTGCATCAAATGTCTTGCAGCATTGTACAAAGTGTGCCATCTTTGAAAATCTCTTAATAACCACCATGATGGAATCTTTATAACGTGTATTTGATAGTCCTACTGCGAAGTCCATACTAGCGTGAGTCCATGATAATTTGGGAACGAGTAAAGGCATGTATGGAGCTGCTCCAGGTTGACATTTTTTTTTTTTTGGCTTGGTGGCATTTCTAACATTTCTTTTCATAGTGTTCTATGTCTCTGACGAGTAAGGGCCAATAAAATGTCTTGGATAATAGCCAATGACTTGTCTTTGACAAAATGACTGGTTATTTTGCCATCATGACTCATACAAAATGGCCTCCCTAAAGGAAGCAAATCCTATTGCCAAAGTATAGATACCCATGGTCAATATGAAAATCAGAAAATGTTTAAAGGAACTCTTTTGACATACCTTACATATTTTCTGAAATCAGGATCTTGCTCATATAGTTCTTTTTCTGGCTTCAAATACCACTGTTTTGAGTTGCAAGGTGTTGATTATAAGTAACCTTCTATTTAGAACATCTGTCACTTGATTGAATTGTCTCTATTTATGCTTGAGGGAATATTGAAATGAGGTTAAATATTCCATCCATTTGGTGTATCTTCCCTTTAATTTGTTTTGGATATGTGTTCAAAATAAAAATTTTGGAATAATTAAAAGAATTCATACAAAAGATATCCCTTAACGAAAAAAAATTATTGGAAGAGGTTTAAATGGACATGTTGGTATGAGATTTTAAAAGTATTGACTATGGGTTTAGAGTGATTGATAAAGGTGGTAGGACCATATTAGATTTTGCTCTACCTTGTGATTTTGTAATTGCTAATACCTTATTTAAAAAAAGTTAGGAACATCTCATCACTTACAAGAATGTATATAGTAAAATTTAGATTGATTATTTTCTTATAAGAAAAATAGATTGATGAAATTGTAAAATCATTCTTAGTAAAAGTTTATGTATCCAACATCAACCCGGGCGCCGGTGCAGCGGCCCTTGCACACTTGTCACTGTATTCAGGCCATACAGCGCGTCGCTTCCAGGGGACGCCCTAGCATTAACACAATTTCTAAGATGAAGGGACGGATTATAAAAATAAAATAAAATATTATCTTAAGATTAAATGGGAGCATTCAAAAAATACTAAAGATTCAAGATCTTATGATTTTGATTGAGCATGAGAAAACTAATGTTATGTGAAAAAAAGTAGCTATTAATATTAAAAATGTCACAAATAATGTGCTTGGAGTATCAAAACAAAAAACTCATAATAATAAAAATAGTTGGTGGTGAAATCAAAGAGTGCAGTAAAAGATAAAAAAATAAGAAACTTTGTTAGAAAAATTGGTTTAAGTGTAAAAGCTCGAAAAATTGGGAAAGATATAAATGGGCCAGTATGGAGTCTAAGAAAATAATATGCCATATAAAAATTTAGCTTTTAATGATTTATATAATATATTAGATACTAATGAGGGTGAAATTTTTTTTTATAAATTAGCCAAACAATGAAATATGAGAAGTAAGGGTTTAGTTCAAGTAAGTCCATTAATGTTGAATATCAAAAAGAGTTTTTATTAGAAGTGGATATTCAACAAAAGTAGTTGAGATATTTTGATAAGCTTTTCTATGAAGATTATGAGAATAGTATTAAAAAATTACACTATAAAATTTTAGAGTCTAAAAGCCAAATACTTAAAAGGGAAGGGCTTCAAGAGAGAAATCCAAACTTTTGGTTAGAATGATACTCAAATTCAATTGTTTCTTAAGATAATTCAAAAAATATTTGGAGAAATTAATTCTCAGCCCATATACTTTTTCAAACACGATCATGATGTGTTTAAGAATATTAGTTTGAAAATGGGGTAGCTTTATAAAATAGGAGCATATTTTTCAAGACTATTAAT